TAGTAGCTGAGGTGGTAGGTGTGCTTACCTAAGAGTGACTACGGGGAAGTGAGATCCAGCTCCTGACCCCGACTACAAGCCTTGTTGTCCAACTCATCTTTCCTTATAGTATAAGTTGTCGAAACTGGACTTAAAAGCATAAGGATACCTGATCAACTAGGCTGTGTTTCATGCGTTAGATAGCAAGCATTGACCTCAGCATGGTTACCTTGAGGTGATTTCGGGGCTCAGCGACCCCGCGGCCCGGTCGTCGACCAGGCCTCCTGGTTGCTGGACTGGCCAACCAGGAGGCCGCGTCAGAGAACCAAAATCAACCCACAGGTAGACAGGTTGTAGGTGGTAGTTGTGGTTGTGATAGCAATCCCTCGTAGTACCCACCCAACAACTATCTTAGCGAATGGTGATAGAAGACATACTGGTGAGGGATAATGACTTTCACCATTTGTATTATGATGAGAGTACAGCATAATACTGATGTATTATTACATAATACATCAGGTATCTGTATTACATAATACATCAGGTATCTGTATTATTGCATAATACATCAGGTAACTGTATTATTGCATAATACATCAGGTAACTGTATTAAGGTATACACTGCTAATATTAGAGGTTGTTATAACAAAGTTCTTATTCTATAACAGAATGTTGGCACTCATTAAATGGAGTAGCTTGTTTAACAAGACTACTTAGAGATTAAGATTTAGCTACTGGGAATATAATTCCCAAGTAGCACGGGCTATAGTGAGCCCGTAGCGGACTTACCTGGCAAAGAATTGGGGCTATAATTGCGTTATCAAGACTGTAACTTGCTTTTCAAAACGAAATTTGATTTTCACTTTCATCATCTAATATAAGCCTCTTCAACTGTACATAATGAATGAACCATATTACAAAATATAACTAACCCCAGTCAAAACTTGCATAACAACCGTGTTATTAATAAAGAAAGTGACGAATAGAGCGAAATTAGGGGGAGACTAACTTAATAACGCCAGAAGCACACAGCGGCGTCAACATCTTCATCAAAAGACCGTAAAATCCTCAGCAAAACACAGATTTGATGACCCAAATCCTTCGGTGATCACCGCAGGTGTGGCTTCATCAGAGGCGTGTCACCGTAAGGGTCAACTGCGGCTATTTTCTTTTCGCAAAATCGTCCTCTTGCGGCCATGAAATCATCCCCAAATGACCCTTAGAATCACCCAGGATCGTTTATTAGAAAACGGAATCTTGCATATGCCAAAGCCTTCAATGTGTGTGTGTGTGTGTGTGTGTGTGTGTGTGTGTGTGTGTGTGTGTGTGTGTGTGTGTGTGAGAGAGAGAGAGAGAGAGAGAGAGAGAGAGAGAGAGAGAGAGAGAGAGAGAGAGAGAGAGAGAGAGAGAGAGAGAGAGAGAGAGAGAGAGAGAGAGAGAGAGAGAGAGAGAGAGAGAGAGAGAGAGAGAGAGAGAGAGAGAGAGAGAGAGACAGAGAGAGACAGAGAGAGACAGAGAGAGAGAGAGAGAGAGACAGAGAGAGAGAGAGAGAGAGAGAGAGAGAGAGAGAGAGAGAGAGAGAGAGAGAGAGAGAGAGAGAGAGAGAGAGAGAGAGAGAGAGAGAGAGAGAGAGAGAGACAGAGAGAGACAGAGAGAGAGAGAGAGAGAGAGAGAGAGAGAGAGAGAGAGAGAGAGAGAGAGAGAGAGAGAAATTACTGTGGTCGATGGGAAAGAATTATATGTTGTCGGAGCGAAAGCAGGAGATAAAATAGCAGCTGTCTCCGCCACAGGGAAGCCACTATACCCTCTCCTCCTAGTCTACGGAGACCGTCTTCTGGTCTACGGATACCGTGGCCTGAATTTGCGGGCACACTAAAATACTTTTCGAATTCCATTTTTCACATATCGTCAATAATAGTACCACAATGAAACCTAACCTAAAGTAACCTTAACAGGGGCCATCTTAACAGCATTATGGGCCCCTGGGCACACCAGTATACTGGGGCCCCTACATCAACCATTCACAGGAATAAAATATGGTCGATAATATTGAACATATATTTATTTATTGGCACTTCAATAACACTGTTTTTTTTAATGTTAAAACATTAAAAAATGCTATAGAGCAGCAACTAATCAACGTGATAAACATTTGAACAATACTCAAGGTTTGAAAAAAATAATAATACTCAATAAGCTATACAAATTAAATGGCACAGAATGATATTACTACGAATTTCTTATTATAATAGGCGTTTGCGCCATTTCGTTTCGGAGAAATGTTTGTTATTTGTTTGAATTCAATAGGCTTCAGTAAGTTATTTTTTCCATGCACATGAGTGAAAGCCAGTTCAAACTGCCCCATTGTGCTACAAAACTGATTTTTTATGCGTTTCAGTCTTGAAAGACACCATTCTCCTGTACAGTTGTTCATCATCATGCACATGAACACTCTAGAGTGGAATTTCAACATTCGGGAATAAAAATTTCAAATTGTCTGAAATTATTTTCTGTACAGGGAGAGTCTCACAATTTTCATCAAGAGTCATGTGGTGCTTGAGATGCTCACATTCATTTAAAAAGTCATCATAATTTAGGTCTTTGTGATACATTTTAAGCAAATGTTCACACTGAATTTAGTGAATCAGAAGCAATGGTTTACTGAACGGGGTGAGAATAGCTTGAGCTACCTCATCCCTTTGTGTGTATTTTACCTCAATAAACTTATTTCAATTTCAATGGTTTTAGAATCACTGAAAAAAGAAAACGGATTTCCACTCTGTGAATAAGTATCTGCACGTTTTGTAAAGTTCAAAAGATCAGTGTGTTCAGAATAAGGAGAAAAGTTCCCACCTTGAACTTTTTGGTATTAACGAGAAGTTCTTCTGATCCATCATATTCTACTAAGACTCACTCTTCCTTGTCATTCCTGTTTTTTTTTCCAATCACTGTAATCTGCATCGGGACACAGATAAGAGGCTTTGAATTCACATCCATTAAATTTGTCTCTAGTATCCTGAAGATATGATTTCATAGACTCGAGATGATTCGTGGCAACAAGGATGTTGACATCTTTTGATAGCAGGACCTTGTTTGCTTTGTTCATTCTTTTTAGCATGTCATTCCTAAGAATTGTGAGGAAGACTATTTCCAGTTTCTCCATTTTTTCCTCCATCCTTCTGCCTCTCGCCTTGTATTCACTTTTTTTTTTTTTTTTTTTGAGATATATACAAGAGTTGTTACATTCTTGTACAGCCACTAGTACGCGTAGCGTTTCGGGCAAGTCCTTAATCCTATGGTCCCTGGAATACGATCCCCTGCCGCGAAGAATCGTTGTTACAACCAAGTACACATTTTACTGTTGCGTTAAACAGAGGCTACAGTTAAGGATTTGTGCCCAGTAAATCCTCCCCGGCCAGGATACGAACCCATGACATAGCGCTCGCGGAACGCCAGGCGAGTGTCTTACCACTACACCACGGAGACTGTTGTTCATTGTCAGCTGATAGAGAATCCAGTGCATTACACACAGAAATAACAATAACGTGATAATTGAACAAATCCACAAGGGCCGTGACGAGGATTCGAACCTACGTCTGAGAGCATCGTCGATTAAGGCAGCGTCTGGGATGCTCACAGACTTAGCTTGGAATCTTCGTCACGGCCCTTGTAGATTTCTTAATCCAGTGCATGTTTACTTTTTTCGAAACCCCCTTACAGAGCATGACAGCATTAAAATATACTGACCATTGTGTGACAGACAGACGCTTGACCACTAAACATTTTCCTAAAGATGATGACAATATTGACTTGAGAATGGTCCAGGACGGACCGAAACGTCGTCGTCCCTTCACCCTCTAGAGTGTGGTCTGGTCAGGTTATCTTGAGGTTATCATGAGATGATTTCGGGGCTTTAGTGTCCCCGCTGCTCAGTCCTCGACCAAGCCTCCACCCCCAGGAAGCAGCCCGTGACAGCTGACTAACACCCAGGTCCCTATTTTACTGCTAGGTAACAGGGACATAGGGTGAAAGAACCTCTGCCCATTGTTTCTCGCCGGCGCCCGGGATCAAACCCGGGACCACAGGATCACAAGTCCAGCGTGCTGTCCGCTCGGCCGACCGGCTCGAAGTATGGTCAACATACTTTAACCACGTTATTGTGACTCATCGCCTGTATGATGTCAATACATTCCAGCGTTGATTAGAACCAGCAAAAGATGAATACAGATGCTGGATAAAGTTAAAGAATTTGACTGTAGCCACCACTCTGCTGCATTTACTCCCAAGTTAAGGCTGTGTCCAGCACAGGGGAACATACATGGCAAACTCATCGAGTTGATGAATCCGTTCTTGCAATCCAGTATATCGTTCAGACATATTTGAGGCATTATTAGACTGACCACGGCAGTGTGATAGTGGAATGTTGTTCTCATTAAGAAAATCCACGAGAGTGACTGTTAGATCATTTGCTCCATGAGAAAAGATGATTTTTTTTTTTTTTTGAGATATATACAAGAGTTGTTACATTCTTGTAGAGCCACTAGTACGCGTAGCGTTTCGGGCAGGTCCCTGGAATACGATCCCCGCCGCGAAGAATCGTTGTTACAACCAAGTACACATTTTACTGTTGCGTTAAACAGAGGCTACAGTTAAGGAATTGCGCCCAGTAAATCCTCCCCGGCCAGGATACGAACCCATGACATAGCGCTCGCGGAACGCCAGGCGAGTGTCTTACCACTACACCACGGAGACTGTATAAATATGATCAAAATTTCAAGGATTTACATACATTTTGAGATGTTCTTCCCAGAGAGGGTCAAATTCAAGCATGTTGACCAGACCACACACTAGAAATTGAAGGGATGACGACGTTTCCATTCTCAATCGACTTGAGAATGGTCCAGGACGGACCGAAACGTCGTCATCCCTTCAATTTCTAGTGTGTGGTCTGGTCAACATACTTCAGCCACGTTATTGTGACTCATCGCCTGCAAATTCAAGCAATTCTATTTTCTCTTCAGCAGCTCTATTATACCTATGTTGGTGGGGGCCACTATGTTGGTGGGGGCCACTATGTTGGTGGGGGCTACTATGCTGGTGGGGGCTACTATGCTGGTGGGGGCCACTATGCTCGTGGGGGCCACTATGTTCGTGGGGGCCACTATGCTCGTGGGGGCCACTATGCTGGTGGGGGCTACTATGTTCGTGGGGGCTACTATGCTCGTGGGGGCCACTATGCTGGTGGGGGCCACTATGTTGGTGGGGGCTACTATGCTGGTGGGGGCCACTATGCTGGTGGGGGCCACTATGCTGGTGGGGGCCACTATGCTGGTGGGGGCCACTATGCTGGTGGGGGCCACTATGCTGGTGGGGGCCACTATGCTGGTGGGGGCCACTATGCTGGTGGGGGCCACTATGCTCGTGGGGGCCACTATGCTCGTGGGGGCCACTATGTTCGTGGGGGCCACTATGCTCGTGGGGGCCACTATGCTGGTGGGGGCCACTATGCTGGTGGGGGCCCTATGCTCGTGGGGGCTACTATGCTCGTGGGGCCACTATGCTCGTGGGGGCTACTATGCTCGTGGGGGCCACTTTGCTGGTGGGGGCCACTATGCTGGTGGGGGCTACTATGCTCGTGGGGGCCACTATGCTCGTGGGGGCTACTATGCTCGTGGGGGCTACTATGCTCGTGGGGGCTACTATGCTCGTGGGGGCTACTATGCTGGTGGGGGCCACTATGCTCGTGGGGGCTACTATGCTCGTGGGGGCTACTATGCTGGTGGGGGCCACTATGCTCGTGGGGGCTACTATGCTCGTGGGGGCCACTATGCTCGTGGGGGCTACTATGCTGGTGGGGGCTACTATGCTCGTGGGGGCCACTATGCTCGTGGGGGCCACTATGCTCGTGGGGGCCACTATGCTCGTGGGGGCCCTATGCTCGTGGGGTCCCTATGCTCGTGGGGGCCACTATGCTGGTGGGGGCCCTATGCTCGTGGGGGCCACTATGCTCGTGGGGGCCACTATGCTCGTGGGGGCCACTATGCTGGTGGGGGCCACTATGCTGGTGGGGGCCACTATGGTGGTGGGGGCCACTATGCTGGTGGGGGTCCCTATGCTCGTGGGGGCCACTATGCTGGTGGGGGCTACTATGCTGGTGGGGGCCACTATGCTGGTGGGGGCCACTATGCTGGTGGGGGCCACTATGCTGGTGGGGGCCACTATGGTAGTGGGGGCCACTATGGTAGTGGGGGCCACTATGCTGGTGGGGGCCACTATGCTGGTGGGGGCCACTATGCTGGTGGGGGCTACTATGCTGGTGGGGGTCCCTATGGTCGTGGGGGCCCCTATGGTCATGGAGAGCCCCTATGCTGATAGGGGCCCCCGGGCAAGTGTCCATCGGGCCCATGCGGTTAGACGGGTCTGGGCCTTATAACCTATCCATGGATAGAGGGTAGATAATAGCACAAATTACGGAGGCGCTCTCAATCGATTCCCTTGAGTGGATCGCCTCCCTCAAGACACACACACACACACACACACACACACACACACACACACACACACACACACACACACACGCGCGCGCACACACACACACACCATCAGGGCGCTGGTGGCCGAGTGGATAGCACGCTGGATACGTAGTCCTGTGCACCGGGGGTTCGATTCCCGGCGCCGGCAGAAACAGATGGGCAGAGTTTCTTTAACTTAACCCTGATGCCCCTGTTACCTAGCAGTAAATAGGTACCGGGGAGTTAGATAGCTGTTACGAGCTTCTTCCTGTGTGTGTGTGTGTGTGTGTGTGTGTGTGTGTGTGTGTGTGTGTGTGTGTGTGTGTGTGTGTGTGTGTGTGTGTGTGTGTGTGTGTGTGTGTGTGTAAAAAGAATAAGTTAGATAGTAGTTAGTAACAGTTGACCGATTGACAATTGAGAGGCGGGCCGAAAGAGCAGAGCTCAACCCCCCGCAAGCACTAGATGAATACTAGGTATAACACACACACACACACAAATCCCCATACATATACGCACCCAAACTACACAAATCCAACCGCCTGTATACTCTACACACCCCAAAAAAATACAGCAGCTCACACCACCAGTTTTTTCCACCGAAATTGAATCTCTAAGCCCCCCCAAAAAATAAAAAAAATAAATAATACAGTTACCAATTTATTTTTGGGCATAATATCCCTTATTATGCAAATTTGATATGCCAAACACGTACAGGTAATTATATACTCTCTTAAATAGCCGGAGTAGTTTATAGGGCCACCAACCCTAGTCATTAAGACACGTGAGTCTTACTGGGCAAAAATATGAACCTTTTTATACCCTCAAGACAATAAAGTTTAATATGCAAAATATACTTCCAATAATTATCCTATTTTGAAGTTAGACAATAGTTATAGGCATTTTTTTGGGGGAGCCGCATCCTCTGTGATGACAATAATCAAGGGACATAGAGGTGGTTGTAAATCAGTGGTGGAGAACAGTGGTAAAATTGAGGAGACCTGTATGCCGGAGACTGAGAATAATTGTTGGTCCCTGAACCTACAATATAGGGATTGTGTTACTGGTATATTGGTAGAGAGAGAGAGAGGGGAGAGAGGGGGGAGATAGAAGGGGGGGGAGAGAAAAGAGAGAGAGAGAGAGAGAGAGAGAGAGAGAGAGAGAGAGAGAGAGAGAGAGAGAGAGAGAGAGAGAGAGAGAGAGAGAGAGAGAGAGAGAGAGAGAGAGAGAGAGAGAGAGAGAGAGAGAGACAGACAGAGAGAGACAGACAGAGAGAGAGAGACAGAGAGACAGAGACAGAGAGAGAGAGAGAGACAGAGAGAGAGAGAGAGACAGAGAGAGAGAGAGAGACAGACAGACAGAGAGAGACAGACAGAGAGAGAGACAGAGAGAGACAGAGAGACAGAGACAGAGAGAGAGAGAGACAGAGAGAGACAGAGACAGACAGACAGACAGACAGACAGACAGACAGACAAAGCTTAACACGAACACGGTGGGTATTTAGAGAAATATCGTATAAAAAAATTAATAAAAAAACCAACAAGAAAAAAAAATAACATAACAGTTCCTTAAATACCTCAAGATGAGTATACCTGAAGTATACCTTGAGAATACCCGGAATATATGCCTATAGTATACCAGGAGTTTACCTGGAGAGGATTCTGGGAGTTTTTTAACTCCCTAATCCCGGCCTATGACGTGATATGTGACTCGATCCAACAGACTGTTGCTTGCAGCGGGCCGCAGGCAGGTCACTTAATGACACACAAGAGAATAAAGTTTTGACTGATGTAGTGTCGCTCAGTGGCTAGGCTCCGTCCATCAATCTCATTTATCCCCCAGCATCCCACAGGGAGATGAGGGCCAAGCATCCCTTCCTCTCCGTGTGTGTGTGTGTGTGTGTGTGTGTGTGTGTGTGTGTGTGTGTGTGTGTGTGTGTGTGTGTGTGTGTACTCACCTAATTGTGCTTGCGGGGGTTGAGCTTTGGCTCTTTGGTCCCGCCTCTCAACTGTCAATCAACTGGTGTACAGGTTCCTGAGCCTACTCGGCTCTTTCATATCTACATTTGAAACTGTGTATGGAGTCAGTGTGTGTGTGTGTGTGTGTGTGTGTGTGTGTGTGTGTGTGTGTGTGTGTGTGTGTGTGTGTGTGTGTGTGTGTGTGTACTCACCTAATTGTGCTTGCGGGGGTTGAGCTTTGGCTCTTTGGTCCCGCCTCTCAACTGTCAATCAACTGGTGTACAGGTTCCTGAGCCTACTGGGCTCTTTCATATCTACATTTGAAACTGTGTATGGAGTCAGTGTGTGTGTGTGTGTGTGTGTGTGTGTGTGTGTGTGTGTGTGTGTGTGTGTGTGTGTGTGTGTGTGTGTGTGTGTGTGTGTGTGTGTGTGTTTTCACTTAGTTGTATTCACCTAGTTGTGCTTGCGGGGGTTGAGCTCTGCTCTTTCGACCCGCCTCTCAACTATCAATCAACTGTTACAACTATGTCTAAACATGTTAGACATTGTTGACAAAACCACACACTAGAAAGTGAAAATTGTCAATCGACTTGAGAATGGTCCAGGACGGACCGAAACGTCGTCGTCCCTTCACTTACTAGTGTGTGGTCTGGTCAACATAGTTCAGCCAGGTTATTGTGACTCCTCGCCTGCATATACTTGACATTCACACGCATAATATAGTCTCTCTTGTGCTATATACACTTACAAGGCCTGGCACCTCAATAGTGTCTCTGGTATGGCACTCTTCTTAGATGTATGTCTTAGCTCCCACGAACATTACAGAATATACAAGTATCTCTTTGAGATGCAGGCGATGAGTCACAATAACGTGGCTGAAGTATGTTGACCAGACCACACACTAGAAATTGAAGGGACGACGACGTTTCGGTCCGTCCTGGACCATTCTCAAGTCGATTGTGACTTGATTCTCAAGTCGATTGACAATCGACTTGAGAATGGTCCAGGACGGACCGAAACGTCGTCGTCCCTTCAATTTCTAGTGTGTGGTCTGGTCAACATCTCTTTGAGATCTTACGAGCCCGACAAAATCGTAAGAAAATCGTAAAAAAATGTAAAAACGGTTTGGCAATAAACAGGCAGAATGTTGTAGAAAATCCCGCCATAATTAAAATAAAGAACTTCTTAACCTTTCCTTAAAACAAAAGCATAACAGAAGCATCTAATTCCCTCCCTTCCTTCCCTAGGGAGCCGGTCGGCCGAGCGGACAGCACGCTGGAGTTGTGATCCTGTGTGGTCCCGGGTTCGATCCCGGGCGCGGGCGAGAAACAATGGGCAGAGTTTCTTTCACCCTATGCCCCTGTTACCTAGCAGTAAAATAGGTACCTGGGTGTTAGTCAGCTGTCACGGGCTGCTTCCTGGGGGTGGAGGCCTGGTCGAGGACCGGGCCGCGGGGACACTAAAGTCCCGAAATCATCTCAAGATAACCCCTTGTGCTATGAACTCACCTGATATTACAGTACCTATTAATATAACTCCAGCAGTAATAATTTATCATTATTCTTAACTTTCCCTTTTACTAATGTCTTTACCTGACTGTAAATATGTTAATTCTCTAATTACTATAATTTTGCTTTGTATAACTCAGCCATTATTTTTTTTGGGGGGAGGGGGGGGAGGGGGGGGGTGTTAAAAATTAAATGATCACTTTCTAACATAAATTTCAATGTAAATTCAATGTTAGCTTTAAAACTTCCTGTCTCTCTCTACCTCTTCCTCTCTCACCCTTCCTCTCTTATTCCCTCTTTTCTTCCTCTCTTATTCCCTCTTTTCAAACATCCTCCCTTCTCCCCTTATCAAACATTCCCTCATTCTCCTTCCTTACCCATCTCTTTCTTTTAACACATTAGGGTAGTTGCACAAATGCAGATGAACCTAGACTATATTAGATTGTTTATTCAGGTAAAGGTATATACATTGAAAGTGAGTTACAAACATAATGTTGGATTTAAGGATAGAGCTAGTACATATAATACCTAAAGCCAATAATACGCACAGCGTTTCGGGCATATGAAGGGGAGTACAGTGTGTCAGAAAGCTAGCTACGTGATGCTAAAAATCCCCATCACACAGGATGATTAGTCATACAGAGGCATGTGATGAGTAGTCTGCACTGCCAGACTTTGGGTGCATTATGAGGATATCATCAACACAAGACTGAATAAGGCAGCAGTGATACTAGAAGTCCCCATCTCGCAGGATGGTTAGTCATACAGGGACATATGTTTAGTAGCCTGCACTGGCAAATTTTGAGTGCAATATGAGGATATCTTCAAGAACACGAGAGTGAAGTAATTGCAAAGCTCCAGGCACCTCATGCCAACTGGTCTGAAAGGTCTAATAACTGGGCATTCGGTGATGTAGTGTGGGAGATCATGCCGTAGTTCCTGCTCACAGAGTTTGCACCTGGAGTGCTCAGGATTGGGAGATCCGTCACCTGTAGCCACCTGCCACAGGTAACGGTAACCCAACCTGATCCTGGCAACCACTGTGTCGCACAGTCTGCTGGACGTTTTGTGCTGCCCATAAATATAAATTTCAGATCTGAACAAATCATAGCTTTTTATACTAGTACTTTCAGGTCGTTGGGAGTCAGTAATTTCTTTCCTATCAGACCTAAGTGTTTGGAATAATATAGTTTTGACAGCAGAGATGGGGATACCTAGATCTAATTCAACTTCATCCCTCTCTCTCTCTCTCTCTCTCTCTCTCACAGAAAACTGAAGAATTCTATGGACTCTGCAAGCCACTTTTCACCAGTTAGGCATTTAATTAAGGTATAGTTTATACCACCTGGCCTCCACCCCTCTATATAAGTTCCTTGAGTCTCTACACACCACCAAAATAATCGATAGATACAGCGACAGCAGAAAACTGGATATTGACGAGGCATTATACAGTAAAATAGAAAGACAGCCACCTAACACCAGGTTAACTAATAAAAGCATGGGGTCTCACGTACATGTGGTCCAGGGTTCGAGTCTCCTACAGCCCAGGTGAGTGCATCACCAGATTACTCTCTGCCCAACCCGTCCTCTTAAAAATAACGTCACTTTTGGCTCGTATGCGCGGCGCTATGGCCAAATTTGGACGTAATTTGAAATGAAATCGACTCACAAAAGTGACGTACTGTTCCGTTTTCTGTTTGAGTCGCCCGGCTTACTCGGTCAACTTAGAAGAGGAAACTTTCCATTAACGTTTTTCATACCGTTTTGAAACTTTATAAAAATTTCCTGCCCACCTAACCTATCAGAGGACCATTAACTTACTGTTGTTGAAAAAAAAATCCCAAATTTATTTTCATTTTTTTTTCATTTTCAAATTACGTCCATATTCGGCCATACGGACAAACGGCCAAAAGCGACGTTCTTTTTAAGAGGACAGGAGTTAACATCCAACATACTGCCCCAGCCATCATTGAAACATCGGAGATTGGTAGGCTCCAGTGAGCCTATTGGTTCATGGTTATTCATGGCTGCTCTAAAGTTGTAACCATGCGAACTCTGCCTTTGATTATGTTGGCAAAGGTCAACGAAACCTGACTCTCAGCGTCATTGTAAAATGAATTTTGTCTGTTAATTTCTCAACTTCCTTCTGAAGTGAAGAAAATGAGAAGAAAATAGAATTGTTTCATGCTAGAATAATTGATTTCACCGTGTTATATTCAGTAACTGTGGGACATCTGCCTTCGCCTTGTGAACATACCATGAAATGGAGACCTTATGGGTTATTCATGCCCGTGCCACCTCTTGGGTGGCTAAATCTTCAATCAATCAATCAATCGAACTTATTTATATATACAAGAGTTCTTACATTCTTGTACAGCCACTAGTACGCATAGAGTTTCGGGCAGGTCCTTAATTCTAATATTCCCTGGAATACGACCCGCCAAATCGTTTAACAACCAGGTATCCATTTTACTGTTGGGTAAACAGATGCTACAGTTAAGGATTGGCGCCCAGTCAATCCTCCCCGGCCAGGATATGAACCCAGGCCAAAGCGCTCATGAAGTATCTTACCACTGCGCCACGGGAACTACATTATAATATATATATATATATATATATATATATATATATATATATATATAAATATATCGTCGCCTCGTCGAAAGAGGAAATTAAGTAATGGAAATGGAGTGTGGAAACCATTGCAAAGGGTAGACACCTCTTATATGTATATATATAGCGATAGGTAACCTAAATAATATAAACACAAATTCATGTAAAGGAAAAGATACAATGCCCTTAAAGGGGGAGACTCAACCATCATCCTTTTGATATTATATCCCAAACCGCGGGAATTAATGGCTAAATTAACCGCCTAGTATCCATGTTTTAGGTCAAGACTGTCAACAAGTGGAATGTTAATATTATCATTCAACACACAGTGACCTGAACAGTGAAAATACAAGAATAGACAGAGGTCGCTTTATTTCAGTTCCCTAGACAACAACGAACATTCGCCTAGTAGAAAACGGGAAATAAAGCCAGATGCATCGTATACTATATTGTCTTCGAATTGAAATTGAAATTAAGTTTATTGAGGTGAAATACACATAAAGGAATGATGTAGCTCAAGCTATTCTCACCCCGTTTATATTGTCTTAATCCCGAAATAGAGAAACAAGGCGATATTTACACAGGAATGGTTAATTTAACCTAACAGCAATAAGTGTGCAGGGTTGGAAGACGACATATCATTACGCCACGGGGATTGCTTATGTTAAGTCACTCGCGAGCGCTTTGGTCTGGGTTCGTATCCTGGCCGGGGAGGATTGACTGGGCGCCAATCCTTAAGTGTAGCCTCTGTTCAACCAGCAGTGAATTGGAACCTGGGGCCAGATTCACGAAAGCACTTACGCAAATATTTACCAACGTGTACATCTTTCCTCAATCTTTGTCGGCTTTGGTTACATTTATTAAACAGTTTACAAGCTTGAAAACTTTCCATTCAACTGTTGTTATTGTTATAAACAGCCTCCTGGTGCTTCGGAGCTCATTAACTGTTTAATAATTGTAAACAAAGCCGCCAAAGATTGAGAAAAGATGTACACGTTCGTAAGTGCTTTCGTGAATCTGGCCCCTGGTTGTTAAACGATTTGGCGGGTCGTATTCCGGGGAAAATTAGGATTAAGGACTTGCCTGAAACGCTGCGCTTGCTAGTGACTGTACAAGAATGTAAGAACTCTTGTATATATAAATAATAAAAATATATTACTTTTGCAGTTTTAATATTATTGGCCCAACGACGATTATTAATTAAAGTAATTTACTAAGTCTGGTAAGAGTGCGTCGATTCGGGAATGGACAGAGAACGACTCCCACTTAACAACTCTCTTTTAAACACAATTGACGTCTACAAGAGTCCTGAAGACTCTTGGTCACCATGCTCTTTGATATCTTATCGTCATCAGGCCGCGTCGACGCTTCTCAAGAACCTTCACCAGTCATCTTAATGATAATGACTATTGTTATCAATGCCAGCAACATTGTTATCTTGGTCGGCCTCCTGGTCCCGACCGTCAATGGCGATAACGCCAGGATAGCAACCACCATTCCCACTACAACTTACAACCACCAATGTGGCAACGCCCCCCCCCCTTTTAAAATCACTATTTTTTTTATCATCACTATTACCACGATCTTTGCCATCGACACCACTACCACAATCCTTGCAATAACAACCATTAGTACAAGAATCCTGAAAACCCCAAAGTACACTAAAAATCAGTGTACCCTACACCGATTACAGCCATCACTGCACCTATCCTGTAGCCCAACCATCCCCCGCCAACACTATCACCCCTCACCATCTTCCCCCAACACGCTTGCACCATCACCACCCGCCTGCTCTATATATTGTAGCATATATCGCGATACAGGATAATTACCGCGATGTTATCCCGTTCGCTGCTGACTCCTCGCTGGAACCTGAGCGGCGATAAAGGGCATTATAGTTACTCATAACACCTCGAAGGGCACCTACTCTTGGCCCAGAACTCTCATGGGATTTTTGCAACTTCCTTTTACACATATGATGTTTTTGTAAATGCACATTTTTATTTAATTTTGTAAACAAGCATTTGAAAGAGGTGAAGTTCACCGTTTTCTTCTGTGTAATTTAAGATTCATGTTCACCTTGTATATTCATTTCTTACCTGAAGATGTTCTAGAGTATAACTAAAAATAGAAAAATATGCCATTCAATAATTATTAAAGTTTCTTTACCGTGAATTTGGGTAACTTGATTGTTCTTTTTAATCCCGAGAGTAAGAAAATAGAAGCATAGAAAAGCATATAAAATCAACCACACCAGCAATGCAGCCATATTTAACCATATTATATATATAACCGAAAACTCCACACACCTGAAGGATTCGAACCCAGACAATCAGGGCTCTACGAACCTCAGCATATCCAGTACTATACCAACAAGACTCTACTGACTGTACATATATATATATATATATATATATATATATATATATTCTTTCAGGGAATCGCAGAAAATTATTAAATACAGAGGTCTAGCACACTGCTACAGCTTTGTTCCGATCGGCTCGGAGACCCTCGGTTCGTGGGGAAAATGTGCATTGAAGTTCCTGAAGGAATTGGGGGACAAATTGATCAGCGCTACAAAAGACCAGAGAGCAAAAAGTTTCTTGTTCCAGCGCCTCAGTGTTGCGATTCAGAGGGGAAATGCCTGTTGCGTCTTGGGCACTAGTCCAACTTCAGAGGAATTCGAAGAAGTGTTTGACTTGCAACAATGATCGAACCCGTCTGTGACATTCATCAATGTTTCCCATTGTTGTGTTCTTCAAGAGATCCATAACCTTTAAGCACCTTTTTGCATTATTATTTTTGTATCAACCCATGTATATCTTGTAACCATCAAATGTATATATATATATATATATATATATATATATATATATATATATATATATATATATATATATATATATACGCTGCCATGATGCATGAATGAGAAAAGATTGTTTAAACATATTACACTCACAGCTGGTACATATCTACCAGCTGCTTCTACTCAGCTGGTAGATATCTACCAGCTGCTTCTACGCAGCTGGTAGATATCTACCAGCTGCTTCTACTCAGCCGTCAGGATAGTTTGAACCAGCGCAGGTAACCACCATTCACATCCTCAACAGCAAGTCTGACAAGAATACCAACGTATACATGTGCCTGGTACACATGTATACCAGACACAAACAGCTACAAGTATATACATATATATACACCAAGAGGTATACCGTACTTCTCTATGTATTTACAATTACGCTTTGAGTTTTAAGCAATGTTCAAGGCTAATGTATACCTTCTAGCTTTGATCGATAGATTTTGAGCCCAACACTATGTATGTATATGCATATCCTGTGTATATAGGACATGTGTAAGCTGGTCAGAATTGCATTTCACCTTTCTAAACACACATTAACGACACTATGTAAAAGATATCTCGAACCCTATGTAGGACTAATGTAAATCTGTGTATTTATATTTTTAGGTTAGATTAGCATTTTAAAAGCACTACAATCACCTGTGATTGATTGTTCCATAAATCAATGAACTATATGTGTAATAGATTTCTAACCCTGTCCATAGAGGACAGAAGAAAATGTATATATGCTGGTTAGCATTGTAAATGTCTGGCTACGTCTGTGGTAGAAAAATAATAGCAAAAGCTAATTATAAACGAAGCTCAGAAGCGGGGATTATAGAGCTAGAGCTTGTTCCCCCGTAGCCACAGCCAGGTCAGCACACACACCAACCACCAGTGGTCTCTCCTGCCTTTCGCGCGGTTCGGACGCAAAGGTGTGACTGCGGACCTGTAATTTCAAGTCCCTCCGAAGTGGTAGAGACGGGTCGTACAGACGTATGCCACTAGACGTATGCTGCCCGGGTTGTGACCAGGCTAGGAGAAAGGGGGGAAAGGGGTTAGCTCTTTATACAAGCTGTTCCTGCTACAACGTCGTTTTTCGCTCGTATGCGTAACATAAGGCCCAAAAATAGTCGTACTAGAACATGAAAGCGACTGGCGAAAGTGACGCACTGTCCCGTTTTCTGTTTTAGGTCCTCTGGTAGGTTAACCAACTTAAATTCACCGTTTTCTGGACGCTGGGAAACCTTAGAATGACAAGATGGTTTATACCATGTCTATTGGCCTTGTTGTATCTATTGGGTTATAATCTATTCTTATGTTCGATTTTTTTGTTGAATCTGGTCTTAAAGTTGTGGATGGAGGTGGCTTCTATAACTTCCTTCAGTGCATTCCAATTGTTGACCACCAAAATAGAGTATAGAGTATCGGTATAAGGGTGGTAGTGGTGGCTGTCATGGTGGCAGTAGTTGTAGCTGTCAAGGGGGCAATGATCCCTACATTAATAATCGGTATATATTACATGGTTTTGTCGGTCGTGTGGTAAGGGTGGTATAGAAGAATGGCTGGTGGTGGGTGGAATGGTGATTGTGGGTTAATGGTGGGGGTGAAGGTATGGGAGAGGTAAGGGGTTAATGGTTGGTGGCTGTGCTGGTGAGGGTGAAAGTAGTGATGGTTGTGGTGATAGGAGATGGTATCTGTGGTGGCGTCAATAATATTAATATATATATATATATATATATATATATATATATATATATATATATATATATATATATATATATATGGTGATGGTGTAGTGGGTTAAAGCATACTAGTTATGGCAGCTACTGGAAGGTAGTTGTGATTTCTGGGTTCGAGTCCCACTGGTGGGTGTTGTCCAAAGATTGTTAATCTTCACTTGTGGTTTATGCAAGTATAGGTTTTATATATATATATATATATATATATATATATATATATATATATATATATATATATATATATATATATATATATATATATATATATATGCAGAATAACCACATGTGAAAAATAGAAAATGCTTAACACGTTTTCGGCTAATTCGCCTTCATCAGAGCAAAGTAGAAAGTAGATCTTCCTTCTACTTTGCTCTGATGAAGGCGAATTAGCCGAAAACGCGTTAAGCATTTTCTATTTTTCACATGTGGTTATTCTGCATACTTGGATCAGTGTTTTTGTGATCATTGTTGCATATATATATTATATATATATATTCGCCAGGCGGCATTTACGCTTCGTCGCGATGAGAGGTGTCGGCTCCGGCTTTAGTTACCCCTGACAAATTGTCCAAGTGACAGACCCAGCCAAACACTGTTATATATCTCAGCTGACGACCCGCTCTCTCACGGGCGCTTGGCTCAGAGTTCCGTTTTCTTTCGATGCTGAGAGGGGGAAACTACTCTGAATATTTTGGAGCGTTGCAATCTGTCGCATCCCAATCTCCCGTAGGGGGATGTGTTATGCAGAGAAAAGGT